AATTTAAGGTAGTGTTATAATAAAATGACAAATATAATGAGTAATTGGAAGAGAAATAATAAGAAATCACTTAATATAAAATATAAATTATTATTATTATTTAAAATATTGTTAATTTATTATAGATAAATACTTCAAATTTAATATATTTTGAGTTTATTTTATAGTAATATTTTTTAAATGAGTCTTGTCACAAATTAACGAGTCGAGTTGGGGCTAACTTGAGCTTGGCTTGTTAGATCATTAAGTTCAGTTCATGAGCCACTTCTCAAGCAGAGTTAGAGCCGACTCATGAGTAGGCTTGACTCACTTATTCCTCTACTAGTTAACAACAGTATTTCAACAATAATAGCTGTAACAGGTAGTTGATGATTAGTAGTCGATTGTTATAAAGGTAGTAGTTCGCATGATTGTTGTAAATAATGACTGTAGCATTACCTTGGCGTAGAAGCCATATTTGAAAGTCATGGTAGTATTTGGCTATGTGAGTCATAAATGGTTGTTTCAAGAGCATTAGTTTGCCACATATGTCGTAGTAGAGAGCAGGAATAACATCCGTAGGCTGCAAAAACCAGCGTTGAGTTGCTTTAGTTGTGCGCTATTTAGGTCATAGTTGGTCAAATAAGTCATAGCAGGGAGCTGTAATAATTAGTAGGTCGCAGAGGCCGAAATTGGGAGTTGCATGAGTTGAAATAATGTTTGTAGGCCCTAGAGGCCGAAGTTGTGAGCTGCAAGAGCTGTGATAATGTCTGTAGGCCACAGATACCAGATTTGGGAGCTGCGGAAGCTGAGATAATGTTTGTAGGCCGCGTAGGCCAGATTTGGGAGTTGTATCAGGTGTGATAGCATCCGTAGACCACAGAGGCAGGAGTTGGGAGTTGCACGAGCTGTGATAACGTTCGTAAAATAAAAAAGGTCGAAGTTGGGATCTATGGGAGCTGTGATAACACTTGTAAGCCGCAAAGGCCATAGTTGAGAGTTCTATGTGTTGTGGACCACGTAGATCGTAGTTAGTCACATAGATCGTAGTGATGGCCTTTAACGAGAGAGCTTCGGGGGTCTGGAGAAATCCACCATATCTTGAGTGTGGCGGTTGCAAGCAGTTATTATGGGGTGTGTTGTTACACCATCTTTGGACGGCATTGCATTGTATGTGAGGTGTGTCATTGCACCTTATTTGAGATGCATTGTTACACCGTTTTCGGAGTGTGTCATTACATTGTATTTGGAGTGCTTTGCTATATTGTATGTAAGATACACATTACACCATCATTGGGGTATTCTTAGATCATCTTTGGGGTGTGTTGTTACCTCGTCTTCAGGTTGGATTGCTTTATAAGATTGTTTGTTACCACACAAGGTAGTTCGTTACTCCGTAGCGTTTGCCAAAGTTCTGCAGCGCACATATTGATTACGCCAATTATTGTGGGGTGTGTTGTTATACTATTTTCGAGAGATATTGCATTGTATGTGAGGCGTGTTGTGCAGCGTATTCGTGGTGAGTTGTTGCACCTTCTTTAGGGTGCATTGTTACCCCATTTTTTGGGGGGGCATTGCTACATTATATGTAATGTGCGCATTGCTCCATCGATGGGCTATTATCACACCATCTTTAGGGTGTGTTGTTAGCGTCTTCAGAGAATGTTCCTTCGTAGGATGCTTCATTACTTTGCAAGGTTGTTTGTTACTTCGCAGCTTACACTAAAATTTTGCAGTGCACGTCTTGATTCCACAAGGGGATTTATTGCAATGGGAAGAGGGTAGACGATAGTGGTCAACAACGACGAACAAGTGATGGTTGACGGCGCTCAACGAGTGGTGGTTGACGACGGTCAGTAGTTAAGAGAGCGAGTGACATTCGTTGGACCTTTGGTGTGGAACACTAGACCTCGGCTCCTCCTCCAAGTTTAGGGTACCCTCTGGTTCAAGGCCTAGGTCCTCTTTCCTGAAGGGAGTATGGCTCTGTTTATAGAGTCTATGAGTTGACTCCCTTTAAATAAAGAAATAATCCAGACCACTCAATCAGATAGCCCATAGAGGTCCCCTTGATCGAACAAGTTTCTGTGAATATTTGAGTGATTTAACGATATCAGAATTAAGTGATCTTAGACTTATTTGATTCATCTCATCAAGACACTCAATTTGATTAGAAGTTTTCCAGATTTGAAATCGGTTTGACTTTCCTATTGGGCACCAAATGCTTCCAAAAATGGTTTAAAAGTTCAGCATGAGCTTAATTTAACTCAGATTGGGTCAATGTTAGTGTCTTTGCTCTTATTTTGTCGAGCCTGATAGTTTGACTATAATTTTGTTGAAATTGAAGTTCAAGATGATTATTAATTTAAAATTTAAATATTTCTTGCTTACAATATGCTTCGAGATCCACGCTCGTCATCTCAAGATTCATGTCAGAGGACAAATTTTTGTTGATAACGTATTAGATACATTTAAGACAGCGGAAAAAAAGATTCATTTAGGTGACCCCACGTAGTGGGATAAAGACTTGTTGTTGTTATTGTTATCGTTATTGACGTATCATATGAAATTGAAATATTTTTTCATAAAATTTAAATTTATAAATTAGCATTTTGGATCTTGATTTGTCTGTGATAACACCATAAGAGAATAGAGTGCAGGGCAAGAGAGAGAAATACACAATAATAAACATTAATTTGAAAGAGGTATATAACCCTTTATTCATAGGATGACCATCGGTTTATAGAGAAAGGGGTACAATTTGCAAATTTACATTTACACCTATGTTTTAGTGGGAGCTGTACAAGTTATTACAAATATTTTACATATCTGGGCCTAGGGTCTGAGTACTCTAAGGTTTTATTGGCTGGAGCGCCAAGCCTTTAGTGAGCGCTGCCGGTTGGCCCGTTGCTCTCTAGAGAGACATGTGGTGAACCTGGTCCAATAAGACTACCGGTCGGTTAGGGTTGATGCTACTGGACTCTTACTAACAAAGGGTCAGCAAGTTTGACTTGGTTAGCTAAGCTATATCGATCAATTGGTCAAGTCTGGGTGTAGACCCTCGATCTCTGACAAGGAGATCCTAGAAAGAGCTAGGCTACTGAGTAGAATGTGAATCACGTAATCACATAAACAAACGCCCTTAGACGAGGGGGCCTTGAGAGACTGCTGGGACTTAACTCACTAATTCTTGATGATGTTCGGGGAGGCTGCTAAATGCTTCTAAGGGAATTGTAGGACCCAATGGGTTAGCTTTTCCTTGGGTTGGCTTCAAAAAAAGAAGCGATATGGATTCCTGTGTACTTCTAGTCGAGCTGCCTCGTTCAAGCTGCACACCTCGATGCTTATGATTAGTCAGTCGGGCCTTCGAAACCCTTATTAGTGGGCTCTCCTTGACATATCATATCCTATCTACGCCATTAGATCTCCTTGAGATTCTTACATACTTTGATTTGATGACAACTCGAAACTTTTTATATTTATATTGATTTTTTTCACAAATAGATGCACTGAATGTACTAAAATGCTATAGTTATAAGAATTTTATTTTTTGATTATTGGTTTAGTGGAAGATTTATAATTCCTTCAATAATTTTCACAAACTCTTATGTTTCTCATTAACAACTTCACCTAATTGTACCAAAAAGAAGTGTACTTTGGCCTTATGACCCTTTTTTTTTGGAAGATTTACATATATAACCCCCAATACTTAATGAAGTAAATCTTCCGAAAAAAGGGAAATTTACGTAGATAGCACACAATTCTTATGCATTTATATATCACATCCGAACTTTTATATTTACACACATTATACTTCGGCGCTTTAAACTTATGCTTGAAAAAAAGGTGTATTTCGCTATCAGAAAGAGACAATAGCGGTATTTTTGACGTGATATTAAGGATTCGAGTGTTGTGCGTAAATATGAAAGTTTATGTGTGGGATATGTAAAATACATAAGACTTGTGTGCTATGTATGTAAATCCCCCCAAATTTCCTCTTGATTGGCTACTTAATGTAATATTAGATATTTGAATAAATTACATAAAAACCACACAATTATTATACATTTACATATCTAACACCCAAAGTTTGATATTTACACTTCTAACATCTAGGTGTCATAAACCGATGCATGAAAGTATGTATTGCACTTTTAAGAAGATAATGATAGTAATATCTTTGAAGCAATGTCAAAGATTTAACTAACATGCATGTATATATGATTGTTTTAGTGCTATATATGCAAATACAAAAGACTTGTGTGTGGTATGTAGGGGTGTAAATGAATCGAACACGAACGAACAGAGCTTGTGTTCGTGTTCGGTTCGTTTGAAATTTAGTTTGTTTAAAATAAACTCGTGTTCGAAATCGTTCGTGAAGTCACTTTTCTTGTTCGTTTCTTAACAAACGAGCCGAACACGAGCTGTTTGCGAATGACGAGCTAGTTTGACATCCCTAATATTAATATATATAACTAATATATATATTATTTATATAGCTTATATTATATAAATATATAATATCTATATTAATATATTACTAATATAATATATTAATATATTATAATTTTTTAAATATAATTTTTTAAAATATCATAAATTTTTATATATAAATTATTTTAAATAATTTTATATTTCAAACAATAAAGATTCGAACACGAACGAACACATCATTGTTCGTGTTTGATTTGTCTAACTAACCGACTGAAAAAAAAATTGTTCCTCGTTTGCTTATCGAACGAGTCGAACACGAACTCATTGACGAACCGAACACGAACTGTTCGAGAACAACGAACTTTTTTTACAGCCCTACCATCAGCATTGCAAATGCCCCTATATATTTAGGGGTTATATAAATAAATACTAAAAGTTAGACATTAGATTTATAAATACAATAAAAAAAAAGCATGATATGTATGTAAATGCTCCTAAAATATGTACTAATAAGCTACACAAGCAAAACATTCTTTGCCCACTTTCAAGGTTAAAATAAATAAATAAATACATACATACTGTAAATAATTTGAAGTTGCTGCAAAAATAAAGTGTTGTAGCTTAAAAAAATTACAAATAATGAAGTAAAACCCTAATTTAAAGGAGATTTTCAGCAGGGTTACAGATTTATTGAAGAAGATAATAAATAAGAAAAGCATATAATAGTATAATGATATTGTAATATTTAAGGTTATGTTAAGTAGGGAGCATCAAGTGGAACCTGGCTTGGGGGATACATCAAGCCTGGAAGTGCAGAAGTCTTCATTGCTGACCCAATTGTTTTAGTCTCAGGATCATAAGTTGACAGCCATTTTATCTGGCATTAGAAGCAAACACAATGAAGGAGAATAAGAAGCAAAATAAGAAAATTTATGGGGGTATTTACATAAATTGCACAAAATTATTATGTATTTGCATGTGTTACACCTGAAGTTTCATATTTACCAACATAGCAGCGACAAAAATAGCACTATTACCAGTTATCAAATGTGAAATATAACTTTTCATGTATATGTTTGGAACACTAGTGTCAGCGATGAAAAAATAAAAGTTTGGGTGTGAGATGTGTAAATACATAAGAATTGTGTGCTAGGTATGTAAATTTTCCTAATTCAATTTATAGCACTCAAAACTTTAATAGCATCATTAACACGTTTTCATGCATAGGTTTATGACACCAAAGTGTTTTACGTGTAAAAATAAGAGTTTAGGTGTTAGATATGTAAATACATAAGAATTGTGTGGAATGTTGTCGGTCAACTTTTTGATAGATTATTTGAAAATATGGTATATGAAAATAATTTTTGAAATTTAATTTAAATATAAAAGATATATAGTTTGGGTTTTGAAAGTAATATGTTTTGATTTTTGAAAAATGAGACCAAATGGATCTCATTCGTCCAATAGTTTGCATAATCGTATCTGATACCGCGAATACTACACCCTCCCAAAAGATAAGTGTAGACCTCAGTGATAGACTCAATCCTGCAAACTAAGAGATTTGTGACATCCGTTTGGTCTGCGAACCTTTTATGTATGACCGACAAGTTCCCCTACTTAATACCAAAATTAAATAGGGTTTATTTTACCTGAATTCCAAGTTCCCTATAGAGGCAAGCCCCTATAGTTAATTACATCTCAAATGACTGGAGTCACTTGAGAAAACTCTCGATAATGATCAGTGGTTCTAGTCTTCAAGATTTCAAGATTTAGGTTTTCACGGTAGGATAAGGAAAATCAAGTGGGAATGGCTCAATGCGGAACACTTATTTTCAAGAGTTCAAAGGAAGGAGAAGGTATAGGATGTCACTGATCCGAGATAAATCTCGATGACTTCTCAGACTATCCTACGGTGTGGCTACATTTTTGGAGACAACGTTAATTAAGTGTTTGATCTTGCCATTTTTTTTTATTTGAGACTTAAACTTGCATAATGTCTGATTATGCAAATAGCCCACAGAAATATGAGGGTTTACGTCGTACCGTATGACAATCTCGGAACCTAAGTCGAGTTAGGACTTACGCTGCACAACATGGTTGCACATGAGCCTAAAAAGAGAGTGTGAGGATTTACGTCGGGCAAGGCGAGCTATCTCAAAGTCGTATGAGTTGTTATTATACTAGGAAAGAATAATGCTGAAAAAGTTCCTCTTGCTGCTCGGTCTGAATTCCTCGCCGTGCTGCCCACAAAGTTGGCTCCAAGCTCCTGTCGTCGCGACGGCTCCAGGGTTGAAGTGTTTGAAAATTGTAGTTTATGTTTCACAGTTTTGGTGTCAAAGTTTGGTTTTGCATGTAGAATGAGTAGATTGCAGGTAAATAAAAAAAAGTACTTGAAAGGTAAAATACAGTAAAGTAAAATGCTGTGGATAAACTATAAAAGCGTACCTGGGCATCTGCTACTGTTGCGTTATTAATGTTGCAAGCATAGTATGATTTGCAACAAATCTTAATAAACTTGCAAGAAAATTAAATAAAGCAAAAAAACCCAGCATGAAAGCCATAAAAACGAGTAGTAAAAATCACAAGCAAAAGAAAAATATAACTACATATAAAAGATCAGGGCTGGGTATAAGACATTGGTAAAAGTGGGGGCTCAGAGCTGGGCTGTGTGCTTCCCGACCTTGAACAGGAGTTACCGACCCATCAATCTACAGAAGGCAGTTCTTAACCTCAATCCAAGTGACTAGCCGTGGACCTTTATAAATTTTCATAGAAAGATTTTTATGCAAAAGCTATTATTCAAGTCTTTTTTATGCAGAGTTCTCTTAATCATGCAAAAGAAATTTTTATTTTATTTTTTGTAAATATTTTATAAACCCGTACAGCCTACAGACTAGTCACTCTAATCGTGCTAGAACTACTGACAACCTAAGAGTGTCGGGGGCAACGATCCCGCCAAGAATCGGCGAATAGTATCATGGATCCTTTCCTCTCCCTTATTGAAGACCCTTGAGGTAGGAGATACTATTCTTATAATTTTACTTCGTATTCCTCGTTTAAGCACACATAAGCAATGTCGTCATCGCCCTTACCACCTAGACCCACGACTTTATCCTAGTCCGATGATCCATATGTGGCGTTAAGAAATTTCCCTAATTGCCAGGAGGATTTGAGTTAATATCCAAGCCCAAATCCCGGTGCATTGGGTTTTATTATAGGTTAAATCATTGAGGGAATTTCACTGTTGATTTAATTAAGAAAACATGTGTCACGTCTCGGTGAATCATGCTAGTGTCTTAGTCAATTTGTGAATTAGGGTCAAGTGTCTAGTTTCACTGTGCATTCGAGGATTAGGTGAATAGACTCTTACCTAAGGTATGCTCCTAAAACCTTAGGAGGTCTATGTTGGGAATTAGGTGGATGGACTCTCACCTAGGGTGCGCTCCTAAAATATAGGAAATCTATGTTGGGAATTAGGTGGATGGAATTTCACCTAGGTGTGCTCCTAAAATTTAGGAAGTCTATGCTGAGAATTAGATGGATGGACCCTCACCTAGGGTGTACACCTAAACTCTGGGAAACCTACATTGAGGGCTAGGTGAATGGACTCTCACATAGGGCGTGCTCCTAAAATCTAGGAAGACCATGCTGAGGATTAGGTGGATGGACTCTCACCTAGGGTGTGCTCCTAAAACTCTAGAAAGCCTACTATTTAACTTATGCTTAAGGTGATTTAAGGTTTTCTATATATTCCAATTAATTAAATCATCAATCCCCATCTTTATAACTTAACCATTAAGCAAGAAAGAGAAATCAAAACAAAATGACGGGAGAGGAAAAGAGATCAACCCGCTTCCAAAACTCAAAGCAAAAAAGGGGTGAGGGGCAAAACACAAAGCAGTGTTAGAAATACCCAAAATAGTATCCAAACTGCTCCGAAATCAGCCCACAAAAGCACCACAAAACTGTGAATAAATTGCCCTAAATCAGTCACCAAAAGCACCCCAAAGCAGTGAATAAAACAATCTCAAAACATCCCAAAACAATGTGCGTTTAAATTGTGATCAAACCTCCCTAAAAATGTTCAAAAAGTTGCAGCGAAACTAGTCAAGATTAGTTCCCAAAACAGTGACAAAACCTTCCTAAAAACGTACATTTAAAGCTCCAAAAACTGCAACAAAGCTAGCCCAAAACAGTTCCCAAAACATCATTTAATTATCCTTCAAACAACATTAAAATAACAAGTAAATTTCCCCAAAATCGGATCCCCAAAACATCATTTAATTATCCTCCAAAGAACATTAAAATAGCAAGTAAATTTCCCCAAAATCGGCATTTAAATGGGGCACAAAGCCCCCCCTCAAGAACAGTAAATGAATCAACACCCGGGTGGCATATAAAGTCTCCGAAACCAGCAATTTATAATATCCAAACGGTGAAAAAGTCGAGGCAAAACAGTAAGAATGACAACTTAGAACGACATCCCGATTCTTCTTCAAAACAACGATAAAATCGAGAAACCGGCCAAGAAGAATTGAATAAAGATTTGCATGCAAACCCCACAATTCCTATGCGTTAACATATCTCCAAACTAGACTTTAATACTTACATTTATACCACCCAAATCTTTCATGTCATGTCAAAACAACATCGATACGGCTTCTAGCGCGTGTGCGCAAAGATGTGTATGTAGAGGGATTAAAACTTAAGGTGTTAAAAATGTAAATCCATAATAATTGTGTGGTAGGTATGTAAATGCCCCCAACACTTTAACATATTAATGTGCATAAGACTGGTATCAATAATTAAACTGGAAAATAAAGCTATAGGTTTCTTATTTGTCAAAATCATTAAGCAAATAGTTGAAAATATCGAAGATTAATAGATAGTAGATAATAAATCAAACGGTTAAGTTGAAATCATTAATCATGATATAATTCAACACTAAATATTTGCCAAAGAGTAGTTCCCCTTTGCACATAATTAATTTATGAATTGGCAAAATTTATCATTGGCAAAATTTATCATTGGCAAAATTTATCATTCATAATAAATCTAAGCAAGATAATCTAGAAATAATACCAAAATCATCCATAAAACTGCAGTTTAGGTGTTAGGCAAGTGAATACACTGGATTGAGTGGTAAGTGTGTAACTCTTGTTATGTCGTGTACGCTGCAAAGAATAAAGAGGAAGGGGAAGAGGTATACCTGGCCGAAGCCCGCTGGAGAAGAAGAGGAGGAAGGAGGAG